TTTGAGTGTGCACAAGTAGACACTTAAACTTGTATAAAATTGAATAAGTAGACACATTTGTTCTACATGATATAATACACATAGGATGTCATGTAGGACAAGAAATTGCCTTGTAGGGTGCCATGTAGGACGAATGTGTCAATTTGTTCAATTTTATACAAGTTTAAGTGTCTACTTGTGCACACCCAAAGTTAAAGGTCATAATAATCAGTTGGCGCCAAGTTAAAAGTCATGTTTATGTATTATGCCTTTTTCTAATTGATAATGGTTAAAATATTTTTTAAATTATCTGAAATTGAATAAAAAAATATCCTTAATTATTAATTTGATTTTTTTAAAAATAAATTGTCATTAACAGTTTGATAAAAAAATATTCTAACTACCGATAGTTGGTTCTTACTGTTATTTAATGAGTCAAATATTTTTTTTCTAAATAAATATATTAATTTTTTTTTGTTTTATTTGTACTAAATAATTATAATTATTTTTATTTTATTTTGGATATAATCGCATAAAAATATCGAGGTGAATTTTGATAAGTACATAACAAGATTCATGACTTCCACAACAAGTCAATTGAATTTTCATTGCAGCAAATAACAAGTAGTGCCCATGACACTGGAGCAATGTGGTAGTTTGGAGTGAGTGCAACAAGCATCATTCCATACATAGTGAAGTAGATGAAGCACATGACTTTGTTACCCTGAGATGATTGTTCGTTAATCAACAACCATATCATCACTTTCACATTTACTGAATATGTTATCACTGCTTTGGTGTTCATGTAAAAATCATGTATTACCGCGCAAACAACTAATTTAGAGGGTATTTTTGTAAAAGATAAAAGTTTAGTGTAGAATTTAAATTTTTAAAAGCTCCCAAATAATGAGATTTGACCCAAATACTAGTTTTTCTATTATTTGAGAATTCGAATTATTTGTCTAAAGACAAATTGTATGGACAAACACTATTTATCAAATTTTTCTTGGAAAATCTATGACCAAACGGAACTATAATATCGTAAATCAAAAAGGGAGGTGAGTGTTATGGAGCTAAACTAGAAGGAAGGTCTTTAAAATAAATTAAAAAATTAGCAATAGATTAGTAACAAACTTAATAACTAATTCAATTTATTTGTTCCAATGAAGGTTGTATTTTAATAAAGGCATAATACATAAATATGCCCTTTAACTTGGCTTCAAATCACATTGATGCCCTTCAACTTTGGGTGTGCACAAGTAGACACTTAAACTTGTATAAAATTGAACAACTAAACACAT